ACATGAGGAACGACAGAGCTTAGGCGATGAGCAAAGACCGCCCCCTCCTGATCCCCGAGCACAGAGAGTGGAGAGAAGGTGGGAACAGCGCAAGCTGACCCAATGACTTAGGGGGAGAGTGCCCTGTCCCTCTTCACAAGGCATAACTGGGGACTGAGATTTAAGGAGACACTGTGGGGAGAGGCAGTTTTCAGGAACAAATGTTGAATTGGTAGAGTTGGGTGTGCCGTACAGACATTTGGAGTTTGCAGGACTGCTTGCTTCTTCCTGACTTTGTGGACTCAGTACCTTTTTACTGATTTTGTGGACTCATTGTTTGTTCCTTGTTTCATAGACTCATTTCCCTGTTCCTTTGTTTTGCTGGACTGGGCACAGCCAGAGGCTGCAATATGTGTGGGTGTGCGTGCGTGCTTTGCTCTGGGACTTGCGAAGCACCTGGGAGCATTTGGGGGAATTTTGGAGCATTAAAGGGGAGTTTGAACTCTCAGCTGGCTGTGTGACCTTCGTGCCTTGTCCGGAGCCATCACACCTGACCTACCAGCATCCCTTCTGTGGTTCTTGGAACCCCTATCCAATTAGGGCCCCGTTGTGACGGGTTAAGGGATTTAAGGGCCACGTTGTGTGCCCGTCAACCCTGCCGTATCAACTTTCATCGCTGAAAATTGCCAAACTCTCCCCCACTTCCGCGCCAAGGTCTATTTTTGGAGTGCAGCTGCTTCAGGCTGGCTGAACCATTTAGCATATTGCCCTGCCTTTCTGTTTGCAGGAGAAATTTTTTACAGGAAGAAGGGAGGGGGAAAAACCAGTGCCACCCTTGTTCTCTTGCAGAGACACAGGTTAAGAACCCATTCTTTCTACTGTGGGGCAGTGGAGCGTTGTTAATTTTGTTTTTGAAACAAAAACTCCAGACAGGCAAAGATTTCTCTTTCCAAACATGTCTGAGTGTCCGTCGTCTTTTTCCTCCTCCTTATCTACGAAAAGAAAATCTGTCAGAAATCTGTTGCTGTTCCGTCCTCTTTCTACGCTGACCCCAAAAACCAGTCAGAAAAGAAGCAGTCTGAGCCAAGATTTCACCCTCTACTCCAGCCCTCTTAAGTCGAAATTCTTCTACAAATATACCTCACCTCCTCCTTGATCAGCTGCAACAGAGTGAATTTGTTTGAAATGGACTGAGTGCGGTTTGGATTTTATTAACATTCTTGTACTCTGCAGATTTGACATCAAGGGTTTGTCCTTCTGGCAATAGTGAAATAGGTGTATTCAGGGGTGGGCTTCAAAAATGTTAGCAAGGGGTTCTCGGGCCGGTTGCTGGGTGGGTGTGGCCATGGTGGGCGCAGCCTATTTGGCCTCCTGCACCACGGCAGGGGGGGCGTTTTTGCCCTCCCCGGACTCCGGAGGCTTTTCTCAAGCCTCCGGGAGGGTGAAAACAGCCTCCCCAGGCTCCGGAGGCCCTCTGGAGGCTGGAAACGGCCCCGTTTCCGGCCTTCCCAAACTTCCGATAGGCCCGTTTTTCACCCTCCCTGAGCGTCCACACACACCCTCACTTACCTGCATCCAAAACGGGCCGCGTGGGGACTCCTGAGAGGGGCAGGGGGCGGGGCGGGGCCATCCAGGAGTGGAATTTGGGGGTTCTCCGAACTGCACAGAAACTTAGGTAGAGGCTCTCCCGAAACCCCTGCGAACCCCCAGCAGCCCACCCCTGGGTGTATTCACTTTTTTTTTTTGTTTTAATTTGATTTATATGCCGCCCTTCTCCGGAGACTCAGGGCGGCTTACAACAACTTATTAGTTGTTTATGGGCAGGCGGGTGATTACTTCCCTGTTTCAGAGTAGTTCCCGTGTTATTTTCTTCAAATGCAGTTTGCCTTCAGAAGTCAACTGTTGGATGGACCATTCATAACCAGCCCTCTTCTGCGTGGACTTCAGCGTTTGATGCTGCCTTTAGAGCAACGTTTCCAGTAGTACCTTCTAATTTGTTAGGAAGCATCTCTCCATTACTTCGCTTCATTGATTTGCTTCCTTGATCTAAATACTAACCTCCTGAGATGAAGAGAGCTGGGAAGCTAGACTTGTTCTGCAGTTAATCATTGCACACAGACCCACAAATCTGACTGTTTTGGATGGAAGTGATTAATCTTTCTGCACTTCTGGAACTTGTCTTTATCTCACTGGGCTGCTGGGAAAATAAAACGCGATAAACCCTGGGAACGTTATTCTTACGTAGAAGGGAGCTAGATAAATTTTTACCTGTCTTACTCATTGTCCTGCTCACCATATACGGCTGAGCATTTAACTTGTGTCTGAAAAGTGCAAATAGTTTATATACCACTGTCAGCTTGGCACAGCTCATGAAATAATAAAGCTTTTCAGTAATTTTATGTATAAAGTTCCAAATGATTTAGTTTTTTTTAGAAAGACATACATCAAGAAAGGATTGACTCTGGGCTAAGACAGAATGGGAGAAATGGAGGTAGAATATAACGAGACTTACGTTGAGTGTAAATATGTAAATATTCATAAAGTGTAAAAGAATATTCAAGACCTTCATTTAGAATAACAGAAATTGGAAGGGACCTTGGAGGTCTTCTAGTCCAACCCCTTGCTTAGGCAGGAAACCCTACACCACTTCAGACAAATCCAAGCTCTTCTTAAAAACTTCCAGTATTGGAGCATTCACAACTTCTGGAGGCAAGTTGTTCCACTGATTAATCGTTCTCACTGTCAGGAATTTTCTCCTTAGTTCTAAGTTGCTTCTCTCCTTGATTAGTTTCCACCCATTGCTTCTTGTCATGCCCTCAGGTGCTTTGAAGAATAGCTTGACTCCTTTGTGGCAGCCCTGAGATATTGCAACACTGCTATCATGTCACTCCTTGTCCTTCTTTTCATTAAACTAGACATGCCCAGTTCCTGCAACCGGTCTTCATATGTTTTAGCCTCCAGTCCCCTAATCATCTTTGTTGCTCTTCTCTGCACTCTTTCTAGAGTCTCCACATCTTTTTTACATTGTGGCTTTTACATTTGACACACCCACACCTGACCCATCACAAGGCTTATTATTGACCACACAAAGCCTTTATAAGCAGACAAACATAGACACCCCCTAAATTCTGCTTAAGGTATTACCTAGCCTGGTAACGAAATGTTTGAAAACCAACCGACAAGCTCAGAGAACGTACTTCCATCCTCATCCTACACCTGAGCTCTAGATATTTGCTACCATTGCAAAAGAATATTCTTGAGATGATAATACAGAACTTTGTTAAAGTGCACAGCTGACTAATGTGAAGCCAGAGTGTTACATGTCTTAGAGGTCGTAGATAACTATGATGCTTCTAGTACAGTATAGCTCAGGGGCATCCAATCTCGGCAACTTTAAGCCTTGTGAACTTCAATTCCCAGAATTCCCCAGCCAGCATGGGTTGAAGTCCACAAGTCTTAAAAGTGGCCAAGGTTGGACACCCCTGGTATTGCTGATAGCTCTTTTTCTCCTATTTCTAAAACTCTTTCAACTCTTTCTATTTCAACTTTAAAAATCTAGGTGCATGTTTGGCTGGCTTTAACATCCATTTTCAAAGAAACCAGATATTTTGCTTAGTGTAACAAAAACACCATCTGTGCAGAACTAACTCTTCCAAAGTTCTCCATAACACATAATCCCAAGTGGTTCGGTCTAGATTATTGAGAATTTAAGGAGGCAGCTCCTCCACAGCCAAAGAACAGCATATTGGGGCAGATTGATCTAGTTAGGGGGTCATAGATAAACCCATATAATTGTGTGTGTGAAATTGACCAGCCAAAGAGAAGCAATGATTAGAATTGGAATGGAATGGAATGAATGGGATGGAATTTTTATTTTATTTAATTATTTAATTAGATTTTTATACCGCCCTTCTCCCACTGGACTCAGGGTGGAATGGGATGGGATGGGATGGGATGGGATGGAATGGAATGGAATGGAATGGAATAGAATAGAATAGAATAGAATAGAATAGAATAGAATAGAATAGAATAGAATTCTTTATTGGCCAAGTGTGATTGGACACCAGAGGTGGGTTTCAGCAGGTTCTGACCAGTTCTGGAGAACCGGTAGCGGAAATTTTGAGTAGTTCGGAGAACCGGTAGTAAAAATTCTGACTGGTCCCTCCCCCATCTATTCTCTGCCTCCTGAGTCCCAGTTGATCAGCAGGAAATAGGGATTTTGCAGTAACCTTCCCCTGGATTGGGAAGGGAATGGAGATTTTCCAGTATCCTTCCCCTGCCACACCTACCAAGCCACACCCACAGAACCGGTAGTAAAAAAATTTGAAACCCACCATTGTTGGACACACAAAGAATTTGTCTTGGTGCATGTGCTCTCAGTGTACATAAAAGAAAAGATACATTCATCAAGAATCATAAGGTACAACACCTAATGATAGCCATAGGGTACAAATAAGCAATCAGGAAACAATATCAATATCAATCGTAAGGATACAAGCAACAAAGTTACAGTCATGCCGTCATAAGTGGGAGGAGATGGCTGATAGGAACGGTGAGAAGACTAATAGTAATAGAGAAGACTACCGTCGGACGGCAAAAAACAAGGGATAGTTTGAAGCGTGGCAACCTTCTGTATCTTTCCTGTAGTTCCTCTCGGTTCAGGGCAAAGATTCAACCAAGAGTGTCTTCTTGCGTCAATCATAAATTCAAACAAAAATCCTGTCTCTTCCAGACTGGAAATAGCACACAACCTATACGTGAATTACCACTTTTGTGTTCTTCTAGGTTTGTTTTTTTTTAAAAGGCCATTAAGCGCTAAAAATAGTTTAGAGTGCTGTTTTGTTTTTGAAGAAACTTGCCTGGAGGTTTTCTTGTTTGATAATGTATTTTAACCCCCAAACTTTGCAATCCAGGGCTGCTGACTGGGACTTTCCGTAAATGTTTGCGAGGCTTGCTTGCAATCAGTGTCATGAGGGAGAGCTGAAGTCCTTACGCTTGTTTTGTGCCTTCCTTGTTTGCAGCAACCAACAGGCCTTCCTGTTAGAGAATGAAGAATGCAGGAACGCAAGCTGCAAGCATGTACGGCGGTCGTTTAAGGTTCATTGGGCGCTGTCCGATCTAAATCAAATCAAGGATGCGATGGTGGCCACCTTCTTCGACATTTACGAAGACGTGAGTTGAGCTCTTCCTGTTGTGTCCCTGCCTTCTTAGCTGCTATTTACATTTTCCTATACGTAATAACCAAGATTTCAAACACTGGTTCATATTACATCGCCATGATGTAAAAAAGATGTTGAGTCCCTAGAAAGAGAGTGCAGAGAAGAGCAACAAAGTTGATTAGGGGACTGGAGGCTAAAACATATGAAGAACAGTTGCAGGAACTGGATATGTCTAGCTTAATGAAAAGAAGGACCAGGGGAGACATGATAGCAGTCTTCCAATATCTCAGGGGCTGCCACAAAGAAGAGGGAGTCAAGCTATTCTCCAAAGCACCTGAATGCAGGACAAGAAGCAATGGGTGGAAACTAATCAAGGAGAGAAACAACTTAGAACTAAGGAGAAAGTTCCTGACAATGAGAACAATTAATCAGTGGAACTACTTGCCTCCAGAAGTTACGAATGCTCCAACGCTAGAAGTTTTTAAGAAGAAGTTGGATAACCATTTGTCTGAAGTGGTGTAGGGTTTCCTGCCTAAGCAGGGGATTGGACTAGAAGACCTCCAGGGTCCTTTCCAACTCTGTTATTCTATTCTATATTAGGGGGTCATTTGACACACCTTGGAAACAAGGTATATAAACGAGAACGAGATGTAAAGACATTCAGTAAAACAAAATGTTTCCTGAGATATGATCCAGAGCCATTGAGGGCTTCCACAGTGAAAACAATAAGAACAATAAAAACAATAAGAAACAGTCCCGTTGGCCAAGATCACTAAATTCAGAGGTCAGGACTTGTAGTAAGAAACAGGTATTGGGTGTAGAAGGGAGAGAAGCAGAGGTGCTATTCAGCAGGTTCGACAGGTTCTGTAGAACCGGTAGTGGAAATTTTGAGTAGTTTGGAGAACCAGCAAATATCACCTCTGGCTGGCCCCAGAGTAGAGTGAGAATGGAGATTTTGCAATATCCTTCCCCCAGGAGAGGGGAGGGGATTGAGATTTTGCAGTATCCTTCCCCTGCCACGCCCACCAAGCCACACCCACAGAACCAGTAGTAAAAAAATTTGAATTCCACCACTGGAGAGAAGGAGGGAGGGAGGGAAGAAGGAAGGAAGGAAGGAAGGAAGGAAGGAAGGAAGGAAGGAAGGAAGGAAGGAAGGGCTCAGTGACATCCTCTTCTTTTTATGAGAAGAAAAGAGCAATATACCAGATACTTTTTTTTAATAAACCAGGACTAATACTGGTTCAAAAGCTTTAATTCTATCTATGATTTAAAATCTGATTTAAATTTAATACTAATGTTATCATTTCCAGATTTAAACATTTAGATATCTTTTTAGAAAAACCTATTATGACCTTCCCAAAGGTGCTTTTTCAAGAGGCAGCTGGACTTTTTTGTTTTTCTTTGAAGACGTTTCACTTCTCATCCAAGAAGCTTCTTCAGCTCTGACTGGGTGGTGGAGAATGGAAGGATTTATATTCCTTGCAGAAAGCTGGTTATTTGCATCCTTTTAGAGAATCCTTGAGGCCACCTGGAGGTTTACCTGTGCCCTCAGGATCACCTGAGTAGTGCAAATGGGTGTGGACCCTTCTTGCAAATGACCAGCTGTCTGCAAGGAATATAAATCCTTCCATTCCCCACCATCCCGTCAGAGCTGAAGAAGCTTCTTGGATGAGAAGCGAAACGTCTTCCAAGAAAAACCAGAAAGTCCAGCTGCCTCTTGAAAAAGCACCTTTGGGACAACCATGACCTGGATGACTGAGAATCTCCGTACATATTATGACCTTCACATTTTTATGTTCTGACATTATTGACCCTTTTAGTGCTGTTTGAGTTGCTGATTCATTTATGTGCTTTTGCATTTTTCTGTCTCTAGGGAATCTTGGATATAATTGTCCTCAGCAAGAATTCTCCTAAAAAAGAGCTTGCTATCCACGCATTAAAAAATAACTTTGAAGCAGATGCCTACTTTGTTAAAGTCATTGGTGAGTGGCTCAGTATGAAAACATTAAAATGCTATTAAGGGGAAAATCCAATACTGCTTATAGTTTTCCACCCAGCCTTAGAACAGCAGAAAGATGGCTATTAAATAGTAATGAGGTGAGATAGGACATTACATTAAAATTTATACCTGAGAAGAACAGGTTAAAGAAAACCTAGTTAATCAGATACAGGGCTGTTTAGTTTAGAACATTCTTGCCATTTTCTTTACACATTGAGTTCATGAAAGTATAAAAAGTAATACAGTATGAATATTTGGAGAAGCATTTGGAATTTTTCATGATTAGTCTTTTGTAATGTCAACTACCCAGAGTTATCTGGAATTGGATGGCCTCTAAATTTAACGAAATGAATAACGTTATAGTTTCTATTTTATCCTCCACTTTACTCAAGAGCAAGAACATCAACAACGATGTTACTTTGATGTCTGTCTCAGATGCAAGGCATTAAAAGGGAACCAGAAAAGCAGAAAGAAAATAGATTTAGGCTTATTAAATTGTGTGGAGATGTCAGATTCAAAAAAAACTAAGAGAGACACGCTGAGCTTTTTTCTAAGTAGTTTCTTTGATTGTTCCTCATCTATAAACAGAAATCCTACCAAACTCAAGCAACTACTTGCCTCATTAATGACCGTGGTGGTATAAATATGCATGGGGAGAAAAACGAACCTTGTGAGTTTACCAGACGTATGGCATCGGGAACAAAGCTGTTACAGAATCTGGTAGTTCTGCTAGAAATACTTTGAAACCTCCTCTCAGAGGAGAGCAACAGAAACAGACCATGAAGTGGGTATGTGGGGTCTCTAACAACGCTGTGAGCTCTAAGCACATAGCACTTATAAGCAGTATCCTGAATAACAGGAAGTGAGCTTCCTATACTCTTCTCAGTTGTCCTCACCACTCTCTGTATGGACTTTCTATCTGAGGCACTGCTTCCACCAAACCAAACAGTGGTGCACTTTGTTAAAACATTCTCAACCGTGCCTCTGTAAAAAGTGGCCAGGACAGAAGAAGAAAGATGTGCTCTCTACGCTACAAATGATTCAAGTCATCACACACGCCCAAATTTGTTTCCACCTCTTGTTCAGGAGGAAGAAATTATCCGAGGGAAGCAAATGCGAAAGACTTTTAGCTGAGGCTCAGGAACAGGGCTGTTTTTAGGCAGAGCTATGGAGAATTAACTTCAGGACAATCTACCGCTTGCTGTTCCTGACTACACAGCTGGGAGATGTCAGCCCACAGCTAGTATCATCATAAAAAGAGTTTATTTTTCTGCCTCACCAGGCATTCTGATGGGAAGCGTTGATCCTTGAGCTCTGAGGAATAAAACTGGCTTCAGATGTTTGGGGGCTGGGGGGGGCAGCAGAAAGAGGAGGCTCTCTAAAGTTTAAAGTAAAAAAATAAGATCTGTTTTAAATGAATAGCAGTAGCGCTTAGCAAATAGCGCTTAGACTTGTAGAAAAGTCCAGTTTTCTTGGCATGACTTTTCAGGCATGGTTTGCATTGTCTCCTTCCTAGGGCTGAGAGAAAGTGATTGGCTCAATCCAAGATACCAGTCGCCTTTACATTTCTGCAGTATTCAATAAATAAATAAAATATGCAAGTTCTTCTTTCCTACATCAATAGCAATAGCCCTTAGATTTATATGCCACTTTACAGCCCTCTCTAAGAGGTTTACAGAGTCAGCCTCTTGCCCCCCAACAATCTGGGTCCTCATTTTACCCACTTCGGAAGGATGGAAGGCTGAGTCAACCTTGAGCCGGTGAGATTTGATCCGCTGATCTGCTGAACTAGCAGTCAGCTGAAGTAGCTGCAGTACTGAACTCTAACCACTGCGCCACCTCGGCTCATGACCTCGGCCTTGAGTTTGACACCCATGCTCTATAGTTTTAATGAACCCGGAGCAAAAAATTCCTGTATAAAGTTTCCCCTCCCCCTCCAAATAATTTTTAGCAGGCATGTTAATTTTTTTCCCAAACGGTGGCTCAGTGGCTAAGACACTGAGCTTGTCGATGGAAAGGTCAGCAGTTCAGTGGTTCGAATCCCTAGTGCCACATAATGGGGTGAGCTCCCGTGACTTGTCCCAGCTTCTGCCAATCTAGCAGTTCGAAAGCATGTCAAAAATGAAAGTGGAAAAATAGGGACCACCTTTGGTGGGAAGGTAACAGCATTCCATGCGCCTTTGATGTTGAGTCATGCCGGCCACATGACCACGGAGACGTCTTCGGACAGCGCTGGCTCTTCGGCTTTGAAACGGAGATGAGCACCGCCCCCTAGAGTCGGGAACGACTAGCACATATGTCCGAGGGGAACCTTTACCTTTACCTTTATAGCTGTCTTTGGCACCAAGTCACTCGGTTGATTATGAAACACAAGAGCATCTTCATTACGCAAAGCGGCCTAAGAAATAATGTTTTTCCAAGCCATAATGGTGTGAGACAGACATCCATAATTACGTATCCCTGAGCCTCTATAGCTTCATTTGCCTTTTGCAAAACGAGACTAGAAGCAGCCACCGTCTTTAAATTGGAGGGTGTTTGCCTAAGAACGCTGTTCACAGTGCTAACAACTATGGGTCTGTTCTCTTGTTTACCCACAGTTCTCAGTGGCCTTTGCTCAAACGACTGTCCTCGCAAGATAACAGTAAGTATCCTGTTCAACTCCATTCCTGGGGAATTCTGGCATCTCCCAATCCATACTGTCGTTCTGTTTGTCAAAAGATAGCTTGTCCTGGTTGCTTACCGTTTAATCATGACAAGGACAACCAAAGCCACACCTTCTTCAATGGGAGAAAATCAACCTTGGTAGTACAGGGGTTTAAGGCACCCTGTTATTAAGCTTATTAAGACCAGCTGCCTGCAATTACTGCAGGGTTCGAATCTCGCCAAGGCTCAAGGTTGACTCAGCCTTCCATCCTTTCTAAGGTAGGTGAAATGAGGACCCAGTTTGTGGGGGCAATAAGCTGACTTTGTATAAATATACAAAAGGATGAAGGCTATTGCTGAGCACATTGTAAGCCGCCCTGAGTCTTTGGAGAAGGGCGGCATATAAATCAAATAAAAAAAAAAAAAATCAGTTCTTAGTCGTGACCGCATGCTGGAAATTCCTCCTTAGTTCTAGGTTGCTTCTCTCCCTGATTAGTTTCCACCCATTGCTTCTTGTCCTGCCCTCGGGTACATTGGAGAAGACTCCGTCTTCTTTGTGGCAACCCCTTAGAGCTTAAATATATTTATTGGATTAAAGTAACCTTGGCTGTTCAGTTTGCCATTTATATGTTTTCTTTTTCTGTCTCTCATCAACCACCGGACACGGTTATGATGTATCTTCCAGATAAATATTTCAAAACAGTGAAGTAGTTTTGAAAGGCCGTGTAAAGTAAAATTCAACTTCTGACAGCTATTTTGGGGCAGTTTTGATCCCCGAGGTGTGCTGTTGTTGAAAGGGTTGTTTCTCATTTGGGCCCCCTTTTTTTTTCTTTTCCTGTCACTTTCAACCACTTTCCTTATTCTTTACTCTCCCTTCCCAAAGGTGCCTTTTGCCACCATCTCGAGAAATGCAAAGGACGTTCTGCTTTCCATATGTTTTGTCCTTCCGATTTGTATTTATCATTGCGTTAAATTCCCAAGGAAACACATTTATGGCTCATAGTGATTTTTGACTTCAAAAAACAAAAAAAATCTATATATATATATGGAGGCGCTACTGGGGCCAACTATTAATAGTGCTCTAGATTTTTCTTTGCTCACAAAGAATCATTCTCTTTTGGGCTGAACACTTTACTCTTCTTTTAAAACGGCCTCGGAGTTTTATCGGCATTCAGAACTTCTAAGTGAGGTGCCCTGGTCACATATAAGCTTTAAACTTACAGCTGGAAAAATTTAGTTTGGTCTTTTAGGAAGCAACATGTATTACATCTTTCTTACTTTATTTTATTTTTTGACATCAAACGAGCTCTGCCATCTTAAATTACCATGTCCTTGTCCAAGGGCTTAAAAGTTTTTTAAAATGTTATGTGTTTTACAAGGATAAAGGGGGCAGCTCTGTCTTCATTTTAGTGCCTTTGGCTTAAGAGCAAATGAATGGCTGAGTATGACTTGAATTGCTTGAGTTCCAGAAACAGGAATGCATCCAGTATAAAAGCTTGGGGTAAAAACTCAAGAGCAGGCCATGAGTGGGATAGTTCTACACTCAAGTTCCTGGCAATTTATGTACAGGTAGTCCTTGACTTACCGGACCGGAATTGAGCCCAAAATTTCTGTGGCTAAGCAAGACGGTTGTTAAGTGAGTTTCTGCACCATTTCTTGCCAAAGCTGCTAAGTGAACCGCTGAAGTTCTTAAGTCAGTAACACGGTTGTTAAGTGAATCTGGCTTCCCCATTGACTTTGCTTGTCAGATAGTCGCCAAAGGGGATAGCGCGACCCCGGGACACTGCAACCGTCATAAATTCATGTCAGTTGCCAAGTGTTCTGAATTTTGATGATGCGACCATGGCAATGCTGCAGTGGTCATTAAGTGTGGAAAATGGTCATAATAAGTCACTTGTTTTCAGTGTCATCGTAGCTTCAAATGACCACTAAATGAAAGGTTTGTAAGTAGAGGTTTACCTGTATTCTTTTTCTTCTCCTAAAACTCATTGGTCGTTGCTTTTCATTCCCGTTCCTAAAAGAGAGAAACACTTGGCAACTAAAAAGAAAATCTTTTACACTGCCATACAATCACTGCTACTTTGGCTTGCCTGAATCCTTTTTCTTGGCATCTCCTCATACTATCAAACTGTCAGCTTGCAGTCAATCATATTTTTAGACCTGCATTAGCTGATGAGAAGGAATATTTCTGCTGGGAGCATTTGCAGTTTTCGGCATCGCTGCCCTGGAAAAGAATTTCTGAAGTTTGTCCCCAAGGTGCTTTTTTTCAAGAGGCAACTGAACTTTCTGGTTTTTCTTTGAAGATGTTTCGCTTCTCATCCGAGAAGCTTCTTCAGCTCTGACTGGATGGTGGGGAATGGAAGGATTTATATTCCTTGCAGACAGCTGGTCATTTGCATTCTCTTTAGAGAGTCGTTGAGGCCACTTGGAGGTTTATCTGTGTCCTGAGTAGTGCAAATGGGTGTGGAGCCTTCTTGCAAATACATGCCAGTTGCCATGCCCCCAAGGTCACACAATCTCCTTTTGTGACCTTCTGACAAGCGAAGTCAAGGGGGAAGCCAGACTCGCTTTACAACGATGTGACTAACTTAACAACCGCAGCGATTCATTTAACAGCGATGGCAAGAAAGGTTGCAACGGGAGAGGAAAAATGGACTTAAAAGCTCTTTTGTTTAGCAGCAGAAATTTCGTGCTTGGTTGTGGTCGTAAGTCGAGACTTAACTCGACTGTAGTTCGTTTTAGATGGGTGGAAATAGTTACCTATTCAACTGTTTAGTCTTCTAATTGTGGGAAAACACTGCGAACAATGAAAGGAATCAATTGGAGGAAGGTGGCTTCTTGTGCCAATTTTTAGGACCAGAAAGAGAAATAATGCTATGTCCCTTTCCTTTCAGCCTTTTGGTGTGAATCAACCTGGACCTTATATTAAATATACAACTGTCGATGCCAATGGATACTTGAAAAATGGGTCAGGTAAGACTAATTTCTGTTGACTGTGCCATTGGTTTTTCAACGCACCAATCCGTATAACAGATTCTGTGCAACACAAATGGCAGATTTGTCTGTTTTAGAGGTAATTCCTGGCTAAGGTTAGACTTCAGGAAGCAACTGGACTTCCTTGTTTTTTCTTTTGAAGACGTTTCGCTTCTCATCCAAGAAGCTTCTTCAGCTCTGACAGGATGGTGGTGAATGGAAGACCGAAAGAAACTTCTTGGATGAGAAGCGAAACGTCTTCAAAAGAAAAAAAGCAAGGAAGTACAGTTGCCTCCTGAAAAAGCACCTCTGGATGACTGACAACCTCTACAGACTGTTGTACTTCATGTTGTTAAGAGCTTAAAAACAATTTATAAGCCCTGAATATTCCTAGCCAGGTAATAACAATAATAACTATCTCTAAGAGTTGTGGAAAATGAAATGCATTTATTTAAAAAAGGAAAAGAAAAAAACAAGTAAAGGCTTTTCTTTTAAAAAAAAGAAAAGAAAAGAAAGAAAGATAAAAGATCATCGTTGTTGACTTCCTCTTAAGGGCAAGGAGCACAGAATTAATGCAGCTTTAAATAAATGCATTGTGACCTTTCTTGGGGCTTAATTGCACTCATTGGATCTATTTATGCAGCCATATATTTTTTTTCCCCCTACTGCTAATGAATAACAATAGAGTCAGCACTTTCCCAGGCTTGCATATTTTAATATTTTGGGGGGGCGCTAGCGCCATAATCATATTCGGTGTTGTGGAACAGCTGGCTGCAGGTACCCATATCATTAAGGAGATTATAATAAGCATTTCGTGTACGGGGAGACCACAGTTAACGACTCCAAACTGGTAACAGACTGGATCTCAGCAGGAGAACTGTCAGTCTGGGTGGGTTTTATAATCATCTGGGCTTTTAATAAATTAAAACATTTTTAGCACACAGATGGTAAGAAAAACCTGTCCCTTGATAGAAGGACGGAGAGAAATGTAAGTCCTAATGAAAGCTGAGTCTCTGGAGCATTCAGCTCCCTGGTAAATGAGCTCTTCTAAATTTCCAGGGATTTGACATTCATAGGCTAACCCAGCCCTACAGCCAGCACTGTCAATAAGGGGAAAGTTTGGATACTCCGGTCTTTTATTTTTATTCAATCTAGACGTTTGCTATTTTGATACAGGTCCTTCCAAAAAAAAGGAAAGATCTTCCCAAGAGGTTCTCATAATTGGCCGATCTTTTGATTGTAATAAATTAAAAGCAAAGTATAAATAATTTCTACTTGCTGACATCGTTCCTGAAATAGCGCACGGGGCTGCCAGATTTTGCGTGGTGGCACCTGAACCAGGCAAGAATAATTAAGAGCAATTGAACCTGCCTGATACTTCAGCCAAAAATGGCCGAAACTCAGCATATTAACCCTGTCAGCTACTATAGGATATTTCTCCGTAAGAGAAGGTTATAATTCTTAAATCCTTTTGGATAATCTTATTATTAATGAATAAATATGTGTGTGTGGGGAGAGAGAGAGAGAGAGAGAGAGAGAGAGATACACATAACATAATATGTGATTTTTATTCAATTTTGGTAGCCGCCCATCTCAGTCAATGACTCTAGAGAGGGTTTACAATTCAAAAAATATATTACACACAAAATACTAAAAACATTGCAAAAGAATAAAAAAAAAAAAACCCTAGAACTATCCATATTTAAATATAGCAGCGATACCTGGCCAGTTAGCATTTGTACAGCATTTGTATTTTAGGCTGCTATTTCAAGTTATATTATCCAGCTTGTTAATTTTAATTACTTCTTGTTATATATGCGTAGCCTAAGCTATTAACACATTCTAATCCAGCCAATTTTTGTTGTTTGTTTTTTTTCCCCCGTATATATACTTTTTAAAACTGTCCTGACATTGTCAATTTAGTTTTTGGATATTTTGAATATTTGAATGCCAATTCTCTTGAGCTGGTTAATGGCTGCAATAAAGTTAAGCAAGTCAGTAAATTAAACCTGGGGGGAGGGGAACAAACCCTGGTGAGATCTCTCTAACATTGCTCCAGTTCCGCGCCTAATTCAACATCAAGAAATCAGAAGTATGAGTCATGATTGCTCCTAAAATACTCAAAATTATTGAATAGCCGAATGTGCATTCATCTGAGCTAGAACGGCTCTGGTTATGTGGGAAAGAAGGCTTTTGATTAGGCTGCAGAGATTTAGCTTGTATGACAGAAATACGAGCATTTTAGAACAGACTGAATTCCAAAAGAAAAAAAAAGGGGAGGGGGAGCTATGATTTATTCAAGACTCTTGGTCCGAATATTAGGTAGGTGACATGATAAACCATAGATTGTTTTTCTAAAGTAAAATCTGAAAACAACTGTTTCCCTTTTAAGCATATATTTCCTAATAAGACCATGTTTCTCTCAGTTTTAGCTACAATCGGATTCTGAATCAGAAAAGAGAATTGCTCATCTTAACCATGAATTCACAGAATTGCGCTTGTCCCAATATGAGAGATCTTCTCCAGCCCAATCCCTAGAGAGCTGTGAAGACCCACGATCCATGAGAATTCCATCTAGGACGGAGGTGTCCAACCTTGGCAACTTTAAGGTTTGTGGGCTTCAATTCCCATGGCTGAGGAATTCTGGGAGTTGACGTCCACAAGTCTTAAAGTTGCCAAAGTTGGACAACCCTTAATCTAGGAGAACAGATGTCACTTTGTAGGACTCTGATCTAGGGGTTGGGCTGCTGGGGGTTCGCAGGGGTTCAGGAGAACTTCTAGATAAAATTTTGTGCAGTTCAGAGAACCCCCAAATCCCACCCCTAACTGGCCCCTCTCACTCTGCCCCTCCCCTCCCAGGAGTCACAACACTGCCTGTTTTGGATGCAGATAAGTGCAGGGCGTGCACGGAGGCTTGGGGAGGGGATGAAAAGCGGGCCTATCAGAAGTTAGGGAAGTCCTGAAATGGGCCCATTTCTGGCCTCCAGAGGGCCTCCGGAGCCTGGAGAGGCCGTTTTCGCCCTTCTAAAGGCTTGAGGAAAGCCTCTGGAGCCCTGGGAGGGCAAGGTGGCGCAGTGGTTAAAGTGCAGTACTGCAGCTACTTCAGCTGACTGCTAGTTCAGCAGATCAGCGGATCAAATCTCACCAGGCTCAAGGTTGACTCAGCCTTCCATCCTTCCGAGGTGGGTAAATTGAGGACCCAGATTGTTGCGGGCAATATGCTGTTTCGTATACTGTCTTTGGTGTAAGCCTCCCAGAGTCCTCAGAGAGTGGACGGCATAGAAATATGACTAATAAAATAATAAATAAAATAACCCACCCACCCCCCCGCCATGGTGCAGGAGGCCAACTAGGCCACACTCACCATGGCCACGCCCACCCAGCAGCCGGGCAGAGAACCCCTTGCTAAAAATTTTGAAGCCCACCCCTGCTCTGATCCTCCTTTGGTGACCACAAAGAATAACCAGTTGCCTTTCCTAGCAGCCCAGTTTGTTCATCAGAAGGATGAATCTCTGAGTGGTTCTTGAGGAAACCTTGCCATGTTTGACTTGTACAGTAACCGTTGCAGGATGTAAAGGCTGTTTTCTGCAAAACGGGCCTTTGTAGAAGTGGACGATGTGAACAGCAACGAATTGCAAATTGCGGGTCGGAGGAGCAGAAGAGAGATAAGTGGGACGTCGACGGAGTTCAACCCCAAATTAAAGCTTTATGATGAATAAATATTGATGGCTGTGAGAAGTTGGGTTTTAAATATTAATGGCCTGTTGTTTGCAAGCAATGTTATAGTTGCTTCTTGGGCGATAAAATTCAGTGCTGCTTTCCCACCTCCCACTTTGCTGTCAAAATATGATGAAAACAGCAGTTATTAGATTAGCCCCTGACAGCACCTAAAAATTTAAGGTAATATACAACCCCTCTGGCTTATAAGGGAAGGAACTTTGGTTTCAGAATGAGAACACAGGGAAGAAATTAGTTCATTATTCTCCCTCAAGCAATACAATGCAGGAATAAACATAATTGTTGGCGTATACATTTAGTGCTTTTGAATACTCTGAATTTTTCACCTATCTTAACTTCTGTTGTTCTTAACCAGTGCCCTAAAAAGTGACAACTAGTTGTCTGATCTACAACACTGCACTAGTTCTATTACATTAGCCCTTGATTTTATGCATATATTCATTACTTATTAAAACACGAGCCATCTGTGTGTTCTTCTGCATTTTATAGGCTTAAACTTTAGTGTTGTCCAATGGATTCTTTTACATTTAAAGCTGAAGTACCCTATAGATTTTATTATTTTTTTTTGCACTTTTCTTAATAGCACTCCAATCATATTTTTATTGGTTCATTACTATTAAACATCTCCAGCTGCAATTTAGCCTGAAATATTCACTGTTTCCTGAGAAGCAGCTTAGTCTTGGTCTCTGAATAGTATCTTTGAGGCAGCGCTTCAAGAATGTAGGGCCCAAGAAATGCATGTTCTTCGATTGTATTTAAATTTACGTTCAATTAAAATTAAATACGGTCGGTATGATTACTGTTCAGTCATGTGCCTAATGACTTTGTTCTTTCGTCACATTATAAATTACCATTTGGCAACAGTGATGGGATGTCCATAGATACCACGCATCATAGTTTAGGGAAATGCTCATGGCTGTACAGCCTCAGACCATATGCCCTTATCTTAAAAGAGAAAAATTAGGCAAATTACTCCATCTAAGCTAGCTTTGCCAACCCTGGCAAGAATTTGTCTCAAGAACAATTGAAATAGCTGAAGAAGATCATCTCTTTGCCAAATGTCCATGGAGATTCTCAGTCATCCAGGCCACGGGTGTCCCAAAGGTGGATTTTTTTCCAAGAGGCAATTGGACTTTCTGGTTTTTCCTTGAAGACACTTTGCTTCTCATCCAAGAAGCTTCTTCAGTTCTGACTGAAAGGGATAGAAGGATTTATATTCCTTGCAGACAGCTGATCATTAGCATTCTTTCAGAGAGACCTTG